TTGTCTTAAAACTGTTAGTTAAATCTCCTGCCTCTGCTCCTGCCTTCTTCAAAATTGCAGTGGGCTTGTTTGTTTTTTTTTTCATAGTTCTGGTTTATTGTGGTTCCAGCATTGTCCTTTACTATTATTAAGCTTTCGCTCTGTCAAATCTTTCTGTCTGCTTTGTTGCTGGAAACTGGTCCTGTCCTGCCTTGGTTTCCATTTCCTGGGTGTTGGAGCCAGGCTGTCTGCTCCGCAGCTGAAGCAGGTGGGTGAGCTGGACTGTGCCCTGTGTCCTGCTAGCGTGGAGGTGTCTGTGTGTCACCTGGCTAGCCGAGTCTTTTTTTTTTCAAATTCCCTTGCATCTCTTCTTTGAGTACCATTTAGCCATGTCTGGTGCTTGGGTTAATCCTTTCTGAGAAGTAGGAGAAATAATGGATGGTTTTCCAGGTACATCTTACCAGTGCTTCCTGCAGTGGCATGAATGCTCTCTCACAAGTGTCCCAGTGTCACATTGCCTTTTTCAAAGTCCTTGTAATAAGGTTTGTCTGAGGGCTGCCACCTTCGTTATCATGCTCCAGCGCATCTGTGTGACATGGAGTGGCAGGAGGTGACAGCATGTCCATCTCCTCTCAGCCCTTCTCGTGCTGCAGTTGCACCTGGCCCAGACTGCATCACCTTGGGGCCTGGTGAACTCATCATTCTGTCATCAGCTCGTTACTCTTGACCCTCCTCATCGCAGCAGAAATGGCATGTCCTTAGTCCTGCTGGGAGATGTGAGTGGCTGGATGAGTGAACTTTTTTTGGCAGAGCTGGAGCAGGGTTGCAGGGTTGAGGGGGTGGGAGAGCCCCCTCTGCCTCTCCTGGCAGTGCTGTAGGCCTAGGCCTGCTTCATGGAGAGCATCTTAAGAGAAAAGTGATCTTCCTTTGAAAAAAGACTCATCCCTTAGAATAGGAATAGAGGAGATGGTAAACTTTGCATAAATCAACAAAAAAAGGCGTTCATTTCACAGAAGGCATTCGAAGACCAATCTATGACTATAGAGTACCTAGCAGATAAAAGATGTCATTTTGACTTCTGGAAGTGAGCAACAGGAACAAAAATCTTTGTCTTCAAGCTCTGCAGATGCAGAGGAAATGTTATTTCACTAGAAGGCTGTATGCTTCTGCAGAGATGGAAATGTTCCTTCAGGAGCACGTTTGTCTTTGAAGAGGGCAGCAAAGATTCAGACATAGGGCGTAGCTCAGAATATCTTTTCATCATGAAACTATGTATTGTGTGTCCCTCTGGACTAATAAATTCTAAAAACGAAGTTAAAATGGAGTTGAAATGGCTTTATAATGTGTCAGAAAAAAGGGGAGGAGGAGGAGAGGTTTGTTCTCTTTTATGATGTTTTGATTATTCTACTAATAAATGGCCTTGTGCACTGTCAGCTTTTTTTGAGGTCAGAGACCACAGCCAAGAGGAGGATGATATTTATTTTTTTCATATTAAAAGCATATTAATATGTAAGTATCTTCATGTGAATCAGTATTATGTATCTTAAGTGCCGAATATAGAATTGTTAATATGATCTTGCATTCTTAATATAAAACACCACCTGGTCCCAAGGCTGATGTGTAACATAAGTTGTACTGTGAATATGGTTTGACCTTCAGGCGAAGCTCTGCAGTGAAAATGTGAGTTTTTATATCACAACTATGACAGTTGTGATCCCAATCGCACCAGAAATGTGAAACTCACACAGAGCAGAGCAAGAGACACTGGCGAGCACAGTGGTGATTTACTGAGTTTTGTGGTAAGTGCAAGTTAAGGTATGGAACAGCCATTGCATTTGAGATGGTAAATTAATTCTCAGTGAGTTTTAAGAAGTGTGGGGCAGTCAGGGGTTTTAAATTGTCAGTTGCTTTGTTTCATAGTTGGAGCTGAACTTCTCAGCTTGTGGGCTGTCTGCTGTTTGTCAGTGCACTTGTGGGAGTGTTACAGTTTGGTCTTTTATGTCTTATAACACTAATACAGAGCTAGCATCTTGTTTGTGGTAACTAAGATTCTACTGAGATGGAGAAGATATAGGCTACAATTAGAATTTCCACTTACTGATTGCATATTTTCTTGTGGCACAGTTGCTGTTTGAGGGCTCTTTTGTATGGACCCCCGATATATGGTGGTTTCACTGCACATCAATACTTCTAGGGAGCATTCAGGCTGCATGTAGTGGGATCCAGGGTTCACTCTTCATGTGCTGTAGCTGGGTTTGACCTGGGACACCTGGAAAGGGGTCTTCTGAAAGGAAGGGCCTTCTAGGAGAACGCTATCGCGTTGCTCGGAGCACCCTCAAACTCATGGGTCTGTCACCTCGGGGCACTGAAGACTGAGATGAGGGATTATCAGGTGAAATGCACTGAGTCCCTTTTTATGTGTTAGTGAAACTCTGCTCTCAGGGAGCCAAAACATTTCTAAAATTCATGTCATATTTGATAAAACACATTGGAAATGCAGGTATGCATTTATCACTGTGTGTGGGCTGATGGCCATATTTTTCTGCTTATGTGAGGGCAGCTTTCAGCTGTTGAGAGCAGCAAGGGAGAGCAGCATGAAAAATTTGCAAAACCCTTGTTTTCACAAGAGAAACACTAAATATGTCTGTACTGCCTCACTCCTTCATAGAAACTAAGAATTTTTGCGTGCAATGGAGTCAAGTTGATGTTGATGTAAGGTAGACAAGACTTAATCTTCTGTTTCAACTTTGCTAAATAAATAACTGGACTTTATATAAAATGCCTGTAGGGATAAAAATCTATTCGTAGTTTGATATTTTTAACTCTGTGTTGTTTTTTACACAGCTCTCTAGTGCTTTTCTAAACAGTAACTGCATCAGTGTAGGCTGGTGGGCCTTGATAACAATTATTGAAATGCAGGTTTTTTCCTGAGGGAGCATTTGACTGATGACCACCATAATTCTGAGAAGTGGCTTAATTTAGGGATTGATTTTCTGATTGTCAAAGTGAAAAGCTTTAACATTGTTCCTGAAGCTCTGACATTGTTGGTACCCAGTTGTGGCTGTTGCCTGTACAGAAGCAATAAGAAAGTGTGACTTGCTGATTGGAGTAGAGATCTACTGCCTGACAGAGCAGTCTTGCTTCCTGAAGAGGGATGGTCATTCTTTTGCCTTAAGATGATCCTGTGCTGGGTGTTTTCCCTCTGAGGACTAGTGTGCAAGCCGTTGTTCTTTGTCATTGTTGGAAAAGCTGGATGTGAGCCAGCAACGTGCGCTCGCAGCCCAGGCGGCCAGGCGAGTACTGGGCTGCACCCAAAGCAGCGTGGCCAGCAGATGGAGAGAGGTGATCCTGCCCCTCTGCTCTGCTCTGCCCTGGGGAGACCTCACCTGGAGTCTGTCCCCAGCTCTGGAGCACCAGCACAGTGGGAACATGGACCTGTTGAAGTGGGTCCAGAGTGGGACCACAGATCAGAGATCTGGAGCAGCTCTCCTGCGAGGCCAGGCTGAGAGCTGGGGTTGTTCAGCCTGCAGAAGAGAAGGCTCCGGGGGGACCTTCTGGTGGCCTTCCAGTACCTGGAGAAGCCTACAGGAAAGCTGGGCAAGGACTGGTTACAGGGGTGTGTGGGGACAGGATGAGGGGCAATAGTTTTAAACTTGGGCAGGGGAGATTTAGATAAGACATTAGGAGGAAGTTCTTTACTATGAGAGTGGTGAAATGCTGGCCCAGGCTGCCCAGGCCCCACGCCTGGAACCATTCCAGGGGAGGTTGGATGGGGCTCTGAGCAACCTGCTCTAGTTGCAGATGTCCCTGCTCCCTGCAGGGGGCTTGGACTAGATGACCTTTAGAAGTCCCTTCCAACCCAAAGCTTTCTATGATTCTGTGATAATCCTGGGTTATTTTAGACCAATTATCCTGCTTGAAATCTGGGGATAGAGGCTAGCAGAAAAAAATCTATGATTAATTTTTATATATAGGAGTTTCATACTCCAGTTTTCTTAGATCACTGAGGTGTTTAACTGTTCACATTCAGAAATTATTCTTTGAAAGCAAGCATAGAGGCTCTGGAAAAAATAGTAAAAATGATAAAAAATAGTAGAAATATTAATGCTGTGGTCAGCCTTGCTGTTGAGAACACTTGGAGTGTGGGCTGTTTCTTCCAGTGCATCCACCTACTTTGACATAGTAGCCTAGAAGGTTGAAAAAAGAAAAAATTAGTACTTTTTCTTAACCATCAGCAGAATTATCTGGTTTTTTTTCTTCTTTTTTTTTTTTGTTGGGTTTTTTTGTTTGTTTGTTTTGTTTTTTTAATTTCTCTTTTCTGAATGTCTTTACTGCTTTTCCATAAAAATGGAGCTGGGAGCTGCGGAATCACTAACGTGTGGGTCTGAACTGAACCCTGTGCAGTGAAACCAGTAGAGAAGACCAGTGGCAGCACCTGGCCTGCGAAGGGGAAACCCCTGGAACTCGAGGGCAGTGCACAGCAGCCAGTTAAACCTGTGATTCTTAGCCAGCACCATTTTAATAATCTTTTTTGTTCCTCTTGGCAGCACTAAAATGAAAGAATGCAGTCAGCAAGTTTGCATTTTGGTTTTTAAACTTAGTACCCTGGCCATTTTAATTTGTAGTGCAGTTTATTGTAAATAATGTATCTTGGTTATTTTAAGATGTCTTTAGAAGCACGTAAGGCTGTGCTGTTGTGGTGTTGGTTTTTTCCCCCCATTCTTAGCCTGTTCAATATTTAAGTTTATAATGAAGCAAGAGTAATATCTGCAGTATCTGCTTTCAGTAAGTCACTGGAATTTGTACTATTTCTGAGGCCACAAGCATAAACTTGATTCGTGTGAGTATTCTTTTCCCTCGTGAAAGCTTGATGATTTTAGTTAGTGCCCACAGAGACATGAAGCTTCATCTTTGTTCATCAAACATTTAACAGTTTAAAGCAGCATTTAGATATGATTGGCTGTGCACAAAATTAGATTAAATATAAAGGAAATCAGTAAATCAGGATTCTTCTATTATAGCTGGTTTTGGTGCTTTGTGTAAATATTACAGACAGAAAATTTTACGATGAGAAAGTGACTTTCAAGTTAGTGTCCCCTCTGCCTGTTTATTTTTAGGGGGTTTAAAAAGTGGGGGTGCAGTCTTGGTCCTCTGCAAGTTGCTGAGAACATTCCCACAGCTTCAGTAGGGCCAGGATTGTACCTCACACCCCTCCAAAAGAAATATAAAATGTGAAATACCCAGGAATGTTTTACTGAACTGCACTCACTCACTAATATGTACTTGGTTTTAAATCATAACTGCCTCTATGAGTTTGATTAATAAAAAAAAATTAAAAAGAAATAAATTTAAATACTTTATTCAGGTAGTTTGTGTTCTGTTTCTCCTGCCCTGGTATGAGTTTCTAGCTACATTGGAAGGCAAGAATTAATACAGTAAGAGTTGTATTACATTTATAATTATATTGCAATTATTATTGTGTTATTATTTTATATCTACCATGCAGGAATAATAATGCAAGAGTAGTACAAATGTATCTGAAGTGCCAGTTTTCCCCAAACTCCTGGCACTGCTTCGTTGTGCTTCTGGACGTGCTCATATTCCTGAGCAAGGTCATTTCAGTCCCTGCTGCCTTCAGTGGCTAATAAGGCTCTTCCCTGGATGCTGTATGAAATCCCTACTGCTGGCTTATTGGGAAAAAAAAAAGCAAAGCCTGGCTGAATCCCCTGACGGGAGCTCACTTGTACTGGGAGGATGAGTGGCAGTGACAGTGTACGCCGAGGCAGCTCCTCAGTCAGGAGTGTGCTTCCCTCAGGGACAGCCCTGGCAGGGAGCCCCATCCCCATCCTGCCGGCATGGCCCTCGCACTCCTCTCTGCAGCTGGGATTTTTGCTGCTCTCAGCTCTTCAGACCTTCGGATGCACAGAGAGAAGCTCAGGTGAGATGGCTTCTGATGCGGGGTCAGCTGAAATGTGCTTCAGAGGCAGGGAGGATAAAGAGCCCTTGGGTCTCCGTGCACAAATGTGGCTGAATCTCTTCAGCAGGCAGGACAGCATATACTGCAAGACATTTATCTGACATGCTGTTCTTCCCTCTGAGTACTTAGGGTAATATTAATTTTTAATACTGTGGTCTCCATGTCTCTTTCTTCTCCAAATGGTTAATTGATTTCTAGTTTTCTGCTTCTTTGATTACTTTTAGGTTGCAAACCAGACAGGACTAAATAGAAGAGTGAGCCATATTTGTAGAAGACTTAATCTTTCAATCAGTTTCCTCTGAATTAAACCAAAACAGCAGTAGCAAATCCAGGAATCCTATTAAAGATGACCTACATAATGGGAATAAAATTGTGCTTGTACCTTCTTTTGCTTTCTCATTTACAGATAAACCTGTGAATGTTTTCCTTTAAGTCTGTTCATTTTTATTGCTGCCAAAAACCTCATTCCTGCCTGGTGTGGGTGGCACGCTCTTGCGTGGAGGACTAGGAGCAAGAGGGCATCTTGAGCCAACAGGGTGGTGAAAGCTGAGCCAGTGCAATGTGATGGGGATTTAGCCCCTGGCTGTATACCAGGCAAATAGTTCTTTTGTTGGCATAGCTTCTGTCAGTCCTCCAAAGGGAGCAAGTTAAACTGCTGCTTCTTTGGCTGTGTAGTTGTGTCAGTTGGGAATTTTTTTTTTTTTTTCATTTTTACTCATGCTGAAATTACATTGTTACTCTGGAAAATATTTCAAGAATAAGTCTGAAAATTTACAAAGCAGATTGCATTCTACGTTTCTCAAAATCCATAAAATGTTGCTGGGTAGTTGTGAGTGACTAAGGGTGTTCAATGTTCAGTAGGCATCTTGGAGAAGAAATGCTTACTTAAAAATCAAAAACCTTGTGCAGTCTTAATTTAACTAAAAAGTAAATGTTTAGCCTCTAAGGTGACTCCTTTATAGCGGAAGAAAGGTATTGGCATTTCAGGTATTTCTAGAAAATGCTGCTGGAAAACAACTGTAGGGGGGAAGAACCCCAGCTTATTGCAATACATTTAGGTAGGAAGGAAGAGAAAGTTAAAACCCCAGGTAAAGATTAAAGGCGCCGCAGAACACCGAGTACAGGAAAATGAGACATGGCTAAAATGTGTTTGATTGTTTCTATAAATACAGGTATGTAGGAATGAAAACTGACTCATTGTTCAGATGGATGTACTGAACAATTTCAAAAGACGGCAGGAATAATAAATGATGTAGCCTTTCAGTTGTCTGCAGAGAGATCAGTTCACAAACACAGCGATGGCTCCAGTGTCACTGCTAATTATTGCAGTAAAAGTAAAAGGAAGTGTGCACAGGGCTTATCCTGTGGAGACAGTCAAATACTGTGCATGTTGTTTTGTGTGGAGAATTTAACTAAATAATCTTATTTGCATTTAAATGCATTCATTTTCCTGGGAGGCTTCTCTAGAAATTATTTTCACCAGTCTGTCTCTATTTTAGGATACAGCGAGGCTTTACTTGGTAAATTAAAATTTCCATGCCCTCTTGATGGATGCAGAGCGCAACACTTTCCCCCTTGCAGAGTGCAGAGCAGGGTGGGAGAAGACTTTTCTTCCCCAGTATTTATACTTTTACCAAGGGGAGAGTTCAGGCACCTGATGTGCATGTGCTGGTGAGTCTGTTAGAGCTTGACTCAGGCAGAGAGGAGCAGAGGCAGGGCCAGGAGCAGAGCACCCTTGTGAGCTCCTTGTAGGCTCATTACCTTCTGTGGGCTCTGCATGTTCTATAAGCATCTTAAAGGTAGATTAAGTGATTTTAATGAAAGGTAGATTTTTTTATGTTAAGAAATTGGTGGATTGTGAAGAGCTGTCCCTTAAGAATAGCCATGAGAAGGCTGAGAGCTTATGGGTAAGAGTCAGGGATCGAGACAGCAAAGGGAACCTTGTGGCTGGCGTCTACTGCAGGCTGCCTGATCAAGGGGAGCTTGTCGGCGAGGCCTCCTAACTCCAGCTCCAGGGGACATGGCAGGCTCCCGTCCTGCTGGGGGAGTTCAGCCACTCTGACATGTGCTGGAAAAGTTGTATGTGAGCTGTAGGCAATCCAGGAGACTCCTGGAGTGCCTAGATGACACCTTCCTAAGGCAGGAAATGGAAACATTAATTTAATGTCGCAGAGGGCAAATTCTACACTGGTGGTCATGTATGGCTTAACTGTGTGTTAAGGTTCCTCAGGTGTTCACGAACCCGGTCCTCACTGACTGTGGGAGGTACTTTGTCTTGCTGGTCCCTTTCTTGTGGGCCATCCACTTGAGAGCTGTGAGGAGAGAAGCTGCCATTGAAGACTGAGACAGAAAAGTTGTTCAGGACCTTGGCCTTCTCCTCATCTGTTGTTACTAACTCATCATTGCTGCTTTTCCTTGACCTTCCTCTCCTGGTTTATGTACCTATAATCATAGGTCTCTTCAACTTGATTAAATGCTGTTGTACTAATTATAGTCCTTAAATATTCTTATTTCCTGTTTTGTAATTTATATTCTCTCAGTTTTTCTTCTCCTGTGAGGAGAGGAAAGGTCATATGGGACAAACATATTTTATACTTATTCCTTATCTGTGCCTCCTCTGCTTTGTCCATGTTCAGAAATTTATAGAGTTTGAAGATGCACTGGAGCAGGAGAAGAAAGAACTACAAATCCAAGTGGAACACCTTGAATTTCAGACTCGACAGCTGGAGCTGAAGATCAAAAACTATGCAGATCAGAGTAAGCAAAGCTGTACACTGGGCATAATCTTACACTTTGTCTCACACGTACACACACTGCTACTCTGAAAATATTTTTCTTACTGTTTGTTTTAATGTAATTGACACAAAGCCTGAAATGTCTGGTTATCCCTTACTTTGGTATAAAATTCTGAGCCTTCTAAAGGATTGGATGTATCCGTAATAATTTTGTAGAGGCTTCATTGCTTCTCTTGTGTGGTGGATGTTTACTCCAGATGCAAGATTTGGGCCATTGGTGAAGCTTTTGAACCTGATTTCCATTTTCTCCTAGGCCCCGAATACAACTTCCCAATTGGTTAGGTTTGGTCATAGAAACAATCACATTTATTTATTTATTTATTTATTTATTTATCTTTACAAATACTTCCTTAACATGTGCAGCCATGTTTTGTTGGCTGAAGATCTGCTCAGAATTCACCGGTGTTTTGTCCAGTGTTCCTGCTCCTCAGGTAGCCAAAGACACCGATCCCAGAGGAGAGTTGAAATTGTTGTCAGACTAGGACACTTCTGGTGCATGGGATGCTGCTGAAAAGCTCTGCTTCTGTGGGCTTATTGCACTGCTTGATCTGCTGATTTTGGGAACATGCATGTGCCCATGAATGGAGTTTGTAATGAAGTCTAGATCCCACAGGGTGCATTATTCTGTTTCTTTTGTTCAGTAGGTGTAAATAAATTTCTAACAAAATTGACTTTGCGACTAGTTTCTTTTGAGAGCCTGATGCATGTTAACTGGTGATTGGAATCTTCTCTTGGTAGTTTCACGACTGGAGGAACGTGAGTCAGAAATGAAGAAAGAGTACAATGCACTACATCAGCGTCACACAGAGGTAGGATATCATCTCATGATTTCTAAATAAATAAACTCTTAGCCTATGTGTAAAGACCTGTCAAAGCATTCAGCTTCACAATACTAGTGATAACTAGAGCTTCTGAACTTCGGGAATGTCAGAAATATCTGAATGGAGGGTGTAAAGAGGATGGAGCCAGGCTCTTTTCAGTGGTGCCCAGTGACAAGACTGGAGGCAACTGACACAAACTGGAGCACAGAAGGCTCCCATTCCACATGACTAAAATCTTCTTTACTATGAGAGTGACAAGCACTGACACAAGTTTCCCAGAGACATGGTGGAGTCTCCATCTTTGGAGCTATTCAAAAGCCACCTGGACATGGTCCTGGGCAAACTACTCTAGGTGGCCCAGTTTAAGTAGGGATATTGGGCCTGGTGGATCCCATGAGGTTCATTCCAACCTCAACTGTTCTGCAATTCTGTGAACAGTGTCCCACTACCTTATCTCCAACTGCCAACGAGCCTCCAGGAGAGAATCATAGGATGGCTGAGGTTGGAAGGGACCCTGGAGATCATCTCATCCAACCTCCCTGCTGTGGTCAGGGACGCCTCTCAAGTAGACCACGCTGCTCAAGGCTTCAGCCAGTCAGGCCTTGAACACCTCCAGGGAGTGGCATCCACAGCCTTTCTGGGCAATCTTTCCAGAGTCTCGCCACCCTTGCACTGAAGAACTTCCTAAGATCTAGCCTAAACCTACTCTCTCCAGTTTAAAACCATTTCCCCTTGGCCTGTTGTTAGACACTCTTGTGAAGAGTCTCTCTCCAGCCTTCCTGGAGGTTCTGTTCAGTTATTGGAAGGCCATTATAAGATCCCCCCCAGAGTCTTCTCTTCTCCAGGCTGAACAACCCCAGTGCTCTCAGCCTGTCCTCAGAGCAGAGATGCTTCAGGCCCTGGATCATCTCTGTGGCCTCCTCTGGACTCGTTCTAACAGATCTGTGTCCCTTTTATGATGGGGACACCAGAGCTGGACACAGTATTTGAGGTGTAGTCTCCTAAAAGCAGAGTAAAGGGGGAAGCATCATTTGGATGTGCTTTTTCTTGGCTCTTCTATTATGAGATTAAGTTTAAGTAATTTCTGTCATGATTTGCTGTCAGATTTTCTGTCATATTAGTCCATTCACTCACAGGGTCAGCTTAGCAGATGAGCAAAGATGGGGAGGCATGCAAACAAGGAAAGGGAGTGGGACACGGATGTTGGAGGATATGAAACAAAAGCAGAAAATGAGTCTTTTCTTCTGTGTGGCTTACAGATTTTACTGTCCTCACAGATGATCCAGACCTACGTGGAACACATTGAGCGATCCAAGATGCAGCAAGTTGCAGGAAATAATCAAACTGAGGGTAGTCTGCCTGGGAGGAGGTAGGTCCACAACCGCTGCGTGTAACGTGGGCCCTCCGGGAACTGAGCAACGGAGTGCACGTATTGGAGAGAGACCAGGAGCAGGATCTTCCCCTGTGGGCATGGGCTGTAGTTGAAGGTTTTGTTGGAATGTGTTGTGGATGAGTTGTGGATATGTTTTCTAAAGCTTGATGGTGAGGAGCTTTATGTCTTCTGTTACAAATCTTAGGCTTTGTCATGCTACTATTGATGGGTGGCCTCTGGAGAAATATGTTTGTATTCTCAGATAGCATCTAAACGGTTTATCTGTAAAGCAGATGGAGGTGTCATAGTATTTTTGTGTGTGTCTTTGTGTGTTTGACAATCAGCAAAACCTTAGCAATTAAATGCATTAGCCATTCTAGAATTTTTTTTTCCGTTTCTTCAAAGGAAGCTTTCTGTAAGCCAAGTCACCCAACAGACCTGCCTATGCCCAAGAAATTGATTTTCCTTTACTCCCCCACCCCCCTGTTTTAAGAACACCCAACCAGTAAGAAGGCAAACCTTTCTGAAGGTAACCTTTGCTTAAAGAGGGCAGTGATAGGAAAGAAGTTCTGCATGTAGCAGAACTAGTCTTATGTAGTTTTAGAACAAATCTAAGGCACAAAACTTGTAGTCACATTGATTTCAGTACCAATACATGTGGTTTTAACTGGTATGTGAAAGAACCAAATGCTTTCTGATGATTCTTTATACCAGTAACATCGCCCCCAGGCTGAGAAATAGAAGATGTTCAATAAATACTGGTTAGAGAAGTGATACATAACACAGAATATGCTCAGATTCAGCATAATCTATTAAAGTCACTCAGCCATAAAGAAGATGTTTTCTGTGGCAGTTTTTATGCATGGTAGGTTACCATTTGTGTTAATCATCACTTACTAATGAGATAATTAACCCTATAGTTGCCTGTCTAACCCAGGAAGTTTTAAAATAAAACAGTGCTTTCCAGAGCAACAATATTGATGAAGTAATATGCTGCAGGAGATTAAATATTTTTGTGGCCATTCCCTGTCTTTTTTAAACTTTTTAGTTTCTTCTGGCCTTGAGAAACATTAAAAGGTTTTGCACGTGTGCTGACCAGAAGCTGTGGCAGCAGTTGATCTGAAAAATAGACAGATACAGTATCAGCTGCAGAGGAAAACAGTGCCTGCTAGGTGCATCCTCCCTCATCTTTTACACTGTAGGTCTGACTGAACTTGCTTAATATCGCTGAACTTCAGCTGCTTAATGTCACTGAACTTCATTCAAAACCCCAGATCTTTGGGTTAGGGTTAGGCTAAGAAAAGCAGTGGGGACAGCATGTTAGACTATAGAGAAAGGGCAGCATGGGCAAAGACATGAAGGTAAAAATACTGGGAAAACAGGTAAATGGAAAGCTGTGAAGGTTTCTCAAATATCGTGTGGTAGGGATGATGAAATGCAAAAGAAGAGCACTGAGCAAAATTTGAAAATGAAGAAAGAGCAAAATTATTTCAAAATGAGGATAAATAACTCATTTATTCTTCCTTTATTCTTAATATAAAAAGTTATTTCAGTAACTTGTATGATCTGCTGCAATGCTTAAATACCAGAATACCAGAGTGTCAGTTCATTTTGGGGTAATGTAATAGAAAGGGAGTTTCAGGTCTTGGCATAGGATGTGTAAGTGCCCTCTGTCTCCTGTGGCTCCCTGTGGCTGGATTGTACTCTTTAGGAAAAGACAGAATTGAAATTGCCAAAATTTTGATGGTGTATTGCAAGAAAGAAAAAGGGAAACAAAAAGAGACCAAACCCCACCTTGTCAATGAGAGAGGCTTGAAGGATGGCAAGGGAGTATTGGAAGACATGAATCTTTAGGAACTTTGGTGACTAGCCTTGGAGCCCTGCCAGATTCCCTGCAGCCTCAGTCAGACAGTATCCTGAGCTGGGCAGGACCCACAAGGATCATTGAGTCCAATCCTGACCCCACACAAGGCAACCTAAAGGTGAAACAAAGTACCTAAGAGCATTGACAGGCTTGGAGACATGACCACTTACTTGGGGAGCTTGTTCCTGTGCTTGACCAGCCACTCAGTCAAGAACATTCTCCAGTACTGCCTGTTTGCTATCTCATGTCCCAGAATAATTAAACAAACTTCTGTAGCCTTGGCTACAAAAGTAAGTTGCAGCTGGTTCTAAAGAAAGATCCTTTATTTATTTTGAATCAGTAGATCAGATTTTTATACTCTCATTTTTAAGGCTACCAAAGCCTTACATAAAGAAATGAAAGACAGTTACATGTGAATCAAGGGGGATTGTTTGCCCTTCCTCCTCTGGCAGTCAAATAGTCCTTTCAGGAAAGAGTATCTTACAGTATTTCTTCTAGAGAGCATTAACTAAAGGTTGTGGTATTTGTTGAATGGGCTGTATAGTGAATTGTGCTCTATTTTCTGGAAAACAGTAAATTAGTCTCACAACAGAGAGTGGTTTAGGAGAATAAAAATAATTATAGAATACAGTGTTTGAGGTTTGGCTAAAATTGGATTATGTAGAATCTAAAAAAATCTATTGGGGAAAAAAAAGGTGGCAGCCTTCCTAGGCAAAAGAGACAAGCATGAAGGGTGTAGAAAGGAAAAAAGCATGATGTAAAAAGAAACAGTATTTTGTAGGTGTTCTGTTCATAAAGTTGCCTTTACCAGACTGTTTTTCCTCCTTCCCCTCTCCCCTTTGCAGTCTGGAAGTCCGCAGTGAGCTGCCAGACCACGGTCTGATCCTGCTGTTACAGCTGGAGAGGGATGAGCATGCTAGGCTTGTTTCCCTTCCCACTTACCCTTCTGTAAATAGGAACATATCTGTGGAAGTACTTTAGCAGGAAAATATGAAAGTATCATAGTCAAAAGCATGCTTAGGGCCTCTCTCTTTTAAAGGGTGGTTCATATATGCACCTGCCAAATGTGGGTTTGTCTGCATGATAGAAATTGATTTTAATGTTAATACTAATTATGACTTTGTTATCATTCTGTGAAAGAGATGCACAGTGAAAAGTGTCAGTGGGTATATCTACAAGACTGCTGTTCTCTGGGATGAATGGCAAAATTTTTGTCAAGAGCTGCCTCTTCATGTCAGAGAAATTAGTTTTTACCCTTTTAAGTGTGGTATATTGCTAGTCTCCTTGAAGAGAGAAAAAAACAACCCTGTATGTCTGTGGACGTCCCTGATAGGGGCTCTTCCCACCACCAGTTGAAGATGAGACTTCTTCCTTCATTTCAGGCTTTGCACTGTTGGTGTGTGTGTGTGTGTAGCTCTGTGTTTGTTCATGCTTGTGCACAGGCACTTGGGCCAGATGTGCGGGTGTGAGTCACTGCACAGCTGGGTGAAGTGAACCAGTGTTTGTGTGTCTTGGTGCCCTGATGTGCGCCGAGGGGACACAGGCATAATTCCTCATGGCCTGTCACACAAAGTTGAGTGCATTTATTTATTTTCATCTGTGGACGTGCTCGGGTGTGTTGGACTGCACAGGGGTGCATATTTGCTTAAGACTGTAAGTGCATCTGGTGTGCTTGCCTGTCACTTGGGAGAAGTTTGTGCAAGAAATGTTGGAGGGGGTGTGTGTCTACTACCATCCAAGGAGGGTCATGGGTACTGTGCACATTTCCACGGGGTGTGGATTAGGGTGCATGTGTACCCCTTGTCTGTTTAGAGCTGCATGTTTGCATGACCTTCACTCTCTAATGGTTGTTTTTTTGTCTTGCTTTTTGTGCCATTGCTGCTCTGTTTTGGCTGTTATGTTTGTCACTGCAGTCATCGCCAGTCATGGAGGAAAAGGTAAATCCTATTGCTGCATCTTAACTTTGTTCATCCTGGGTTTGGAGGTTGCTGTGGAGTGGCAGCAGTGTGATGCTGGGAACGTACTTTGTACTGGCATGTTTGCTGCCTCTTTTTCTTCTGGCACCCATGTTACACTTGCTCATTTGGGTGAGGCAGAGGAGCCACCAAGCTGCTGGGCTAACACATCAGAAGGAAGCTTGTATATACAGAGGACAAATTTGGTTCTGAAACAGCATCAGTCCTCTGATTGGACATTTACACTTAATGTCCTAGAAAGTTTTAAAAAGTCATCTTTTATCCCTTATTTTAGTATAAAGTACAAGGCATGCATATTTTCTGAGTGGGGCAGAAAATTTTTGTCGCTGTTAGTAGCTTTCCAGAGGTGCTTCTGACTTCAGGCTGGGCAGTGAGTTTTATGCTTGGAGCCTGCAGAGAATAGTTATCCTCTTTAAATGCTGGCAAACAAATTATAGTTTTGTTTTATAAGCATATGTTTTATAGGATCCCAGGTTCTGGCTACCACAAACTTTTACTGAGAAGATTGCTGTTTACCTTCTTACATAAGGTGGAACTAACCAAGAGTTAAGAGTCACCCTGTACTGGAAAGAATTTGGTGTATGAAGGTTACTTTAGCACTCAAAATTTAGATCAGCCCAGAGGATACTCTAAATTTGTTTGGAGACTGGTGATCAACCCCAGGACTGCAAAGCTGAAGTTAGTTCTTCTGTGATGTTTGCTCTTCTCCCTTTCCTGGGTGGTTCAGAAGAGGCTGGAAGGTGTTTGCAAAGAAACTCAACAAGGAAATTTCCTAACAATCTATGTTAAAATCCTTTCCTGAAGGTCCTACAACTTCTCATTACATGGAGGCTTCCTACCTGTGTTCTCTGTTTAGCAGGGACTGTGAAGTTCATACATTCCCTGTACGTTCAGTGGGGGGCTGTATCTCATGCCGTGTCATGCTGCTGAATGTGCATGTGTTGGTATAGGAACCCATAGGTCTGGGTTCCCAAAAGAAATCTGATGGAGATGACCTAAAGAGGAAGTATCGTTGAGTGTCTCTCTCAGCACACCTTTGGGATGGCTCACGTTTCTCAGTACTGCTAGTGAGTTACATCAGGCCATCCCAACACAGGCACAAAAGTGTTTCTCTTATAGCACATTAGATATTCTGACTGCACCAGCTGTTTTGCAAGGAGTGTTTTGCAGTTATAGGAAGTGTTCTCCAGCTACATACACCTGTGAAGCATTGTTCCCTTAAGACTGGGGAAACTGTGGATGCTCCATCTCTGGAGGTGTCCCAGGCCAGGTTAGGTGGGGTTTTGAGCAACCTGCTCATGGCAGGGTGGTTGGAACTAGGTCCCTGGTTGAACGTTCCTTCCAACCCAAGCCATTCTGTGATTCTAATCTGAAGAGGAAAGTATGAAACTAATGGCTAAAGCGGGTCAAAAAATGGCCTATTTTTTTTCCTCCTAGAAAAGAATGTTTCTTTTTAAGTAGACTCTTCGGGACCCTTGATTTATGTCTTGAACTGTAGAACTAGGAATTTTCTGTCTTTGTGGCATAAAGTTTTCATTTCTAGCTTTGAATCTCTTCATAATCTTTTATACATAACTGACTATAACTTTTGTGGCTTTTAGATCAGTGCAGTGCCAAGACTGAAAATTTCATATTAGGGGGAAATTTTCCCTAGTATGTTATTTAGAAGCTTAAAACATGTCTGTTAGAAACTTTCAGGTTCTTGTAATGATAGCAGTAAGATAGAGAGGTGAATGCAGGAAGACAGAGGTATCATTGACCTGTTAGGGGCAGGTGCAAATGGCCAGGTAGAGGTCAAAAGTTGATATTTAGGCAAACAACAGTGGAATATTTTCTATAAACCTTCAGTGATTATTAATATTTAAAAATAAAAATTACCAGTCATTTTTTGAATGGAAAGGCTACAAGGAGACCAATAATCCCTACCATATGTGAGTCTGGTTTTGAATCTGTTCAATGATGATTGTGTCTTCTCTACAAAAGAAAGTAAGGTTCATCAGGTTGTCAGTGATCTGTGTTCCTCTAAAATCCAGTCGTGTGCTGCTTTTGTAAGAGGGTTTGTCTGTGAAGCTTCCAAGTATGAGTCTTCAGGATCTTCAGGAGAGGATTTTAATTTAGATTCTTGGGAGAGTGTGTCTCAAGTCTCCTTGCTGGGTTACACTGGAAACACCTTTCTACCCCTTCTACCTGTCCAAGGTAGGCCACAGCAAGCGATTGTTCCTCAGCACGAGCGATGCTGACACAGGGGTGCAGCACACTGGGTTGGCTGGGCAATGCTGGGAATGGGAAGGTTGGGCATTTTGGTTTTCTATACAAGCATTGTCTCCTCTGCTAGATGCTCCACCTCCTCCTTTCTTAAATGAGCTGGTTTGTGTACCATCTCCTGAGTTAGTGTGTCTGCATATGTCCTGGGGGGCCTCGGGTCCTGCTGCAGTCATTCTGCCTGTGGTCGTGAGTGACGTGGGTGTGATGGTTGCCTGGCGTGATCATCAGACCAGTGCTGTTGATCATTAAAGAAGGGCACGTGAAGGTCTACTCTTGTTAATACTGGTGTACCAAAGAGTGGATTTGATCACCTGTGCCAGTAATGAGAAGGCGTAAGGAGTAAGTGAAGTACCAGCACTGAACCCCCTTTGTGGGTGCGTGTCACACAGAGGGTCAGCCGAGTCCTTCTCTGCAGGGCCGCTGGAGTCCAGCTAGCAGAGGCTG